CACGCGGTGCAACCCCAGCGGGCAACCACAGCGGTGGACCTGTAAAAATGTGAAGTTCATTGGAATCCGAACTTCAAGAAAGAATGGAAAGACAAGTTTGATAGACAGGTGTTTCTCTCCCACGGCATTTCGCCAAGTACGGATCTCGGCGAACTTCAGGTTCTTGCCTTACGTAAAACTGAACTCGAGTTGCAACCCCAGTGCACAACCACAGCAGTGGACCTGTGAAAATGTGAAGTCCGCCAGGATCCAAACTTCAAGAAAGAATGGAAGGGCGGGTTTGATAGACAGTTGTGTCTCTGCCACAGCATTTTGCCAAGTTCGGATCCCAGCGTACTTCAAGTTCTTGAGTTTGATAGACAACTGTTTCTCTCCGACCGCATTTCGCCAAGTACGGATCCCGGCGAGCTTCAGGTTCTTGCCTTTCGTAAAAGCCAACTCGAGTTGCAACCCCAGTGCACAACCACAGCAGTAGACCTGTGAAAATATGAAGTCCGTCGGGATCCGAACTTCAAGAAAGAATGGAAAGGCGAGTTTGAGAGACAGTTGTGTCTCTCCCACGACATTTTGCCAAGTTCAGATCCCGGTGGACCTCTGGTTCACGCCTTTCGCAAGACCCAACACGGGGTGCAACCCCTGCGCGCAACCACAGTGGTGGACCTGTGAAAATGTGAAGTCTGCTGGAATCCGAACTTCAAGAATGAATGGAAAGGCGAGTTTGATAGACAGTTGTTTCTCTCCCACGGCATTTCGCCAAGTACGGATCCCGACGAACTTCAGGTTCTTGCCTTTCGTGAAACCGAACTCGAGTTGCAACCCCAGTGCACAACCACAACAGTGGACCTGTGAAAACGTGAAGTCCGCCGGGATCCGAACTTCAAGAAAAAATGGAAAGGCGAGTTTGATAGACAGTTGTGTCTCTGCCACGACATTTTGCCAAGTTCAGATCCCTGCGAACTTCAGGTTCTTGAGTTTGATAGACAACTGTTTCTCTCCCATGGCATTTCGCCAAGTACGGATCCCGACGAACTTCAGGTTCTTGCCTTTCGTAAAACCCAACTCAAGTTGCAACCCCAGTGCACAACCACAGCAGTGGACCTGTGAAAATGTGAAGTCCGCGGGGATCCGAACTTCAGGAAAGAATGGAAAGGTGAGTTTTGAGAGACAGTTGTGTCTCTCCCACGACATTTCGCCAAGTTCGGATCCCATGGAACTTAAGGTTTTTGCCTTTCGTAGAACCCAACTCGAGTTGCAACCCCAGTGCACCACCACAGCAGTGGACCTATGAAAATGTGAAGTACGCCGGGATCCGAACTTCAAGAGAGAATGGAAAGGCGAGTTTGATAGACAGTTGTGTCTCTCCCACGGCATTTCGTCAAGTTCGTATCCCAGTGAACTTCAGGTTCTTGCCTTTCGTGAAATCCAACTCGCGTTGCAACCCCAGTGCACAACCACAGCGAGGGACCTGTGAAAATGTGAAGTCCGCGGGGATCCAATCTTCAAGAATGCACAGGATGGCGAGTTTTGTGGGCAGCTGTGTCTCTCCCTCAAAATTTTGCCAAGTTCGGATCTCGGCGAACTTCAGGTACGACATGTTTGCGGCTCGTCAGCTGGCCCGCGGATCCTAACTGTGCGTGCACGGTTCCTCGCACAATCCACAGGTTCGGACTCCGACGTGATACGAACTCGTAAAAGCGCGTATGCCGCCGGGATCCTAACTTCTCGCGCACGGTTCCTCGTGCAATCGTCGAGCTCGGAACCCGGCCCACTTCGCTTTTCGCACGATGACGGTTTCGACCGTGGGATTTCTGCAGCGCGGTGTATTGTCAAAACTTCGGATACATGAAAATCCGATGTTCGCCGGGATCCGAAGTTGAAGCATGTTTGGGACGTCGAGTGGGAGAGACAACTTCGTCCCTCCCACGTAGATCCGCCAAGTTCGGATCACGACAAACATTGCTTTCGCGCCATTGGCGGGGCGTGTTGCCGACTCACCTGCTGCCCCGTGGATGTGACAAGCACACCAAGTCTGCTCGATTCCGGACTTCACGGCATTCCAAACCGGGTCTTCGAATGTGCACTTCCTCGACAACCGGAAGGTCGCAAAAAGCGAAACTGCACAGGGTGACAACGACGAATGATCACGTCGTGGTGGACCTGCCGCCTCATGCGTTCAGGGCAGACATGACTCCTCGCACAATCGTCAAGTTCGGATCCCAGCGAACTTCGCGGTTTTGCATGACGCGATTTCTGCCTGTGATCTTTCTGGCATCCGACGACTTTTCGCAACGACATAAGCTCGCCAGGATCCGAACTCCGCGTTGTGCTCGTCTTGAGAACCGTGACAGTTCTCTGAGTGCGGCCTGTCAGCGTCCCTGTGTGTGTCGTTTGGTATGTGTGCGTGGTGTGTAGGGCGCGTAATGGATGGGACCTTCTCGACACCACGGATCATGGAGCCGATGTTTTCGACACCACAGACCATAAGTCCCGAGACGCACATTCGCTTGGCAACCCGTTTCCTCCTTGTGCGAGATCCGTGTGGCATTTCAACGGTGCAACTACGATCCAGGGATCGACCGCAGAGGAATTCGAGGAGGACCCCTAGATGACCGTCGTCCCGTGCATGGGCAGGCATATTGACGGTTGGTGCGACGACTATTGGGCCACGATGGAGAGTGACTGCCCTTGGGCAGGCCAGTACAAGTTCGCCAACATGTTGGAGTTTGGGTCCGTCATCCCGCTGCCTGACGCTGTCCTCGGTCACAAGTTCCTGAACCACATGCGCAAAGCAGTAGGCTCCATTAGCCAACATTTCAGTCGCCTCGAGTGCCAGTACGTCACGTCGTCTCCACGAACTTGGGGAGGCTCGCGGAAACACGAGTTGCTGGCCTGCGCTCGACTTTGCCCGTTCCTGGAGAAGTACACGCTCTGTTGCCCCGGGAGTTCTCCACAAGCTGTGTCGTACTGTTGTGTGCGATTGACTGTGTCCAAATCTGATTTCACTAGGGTTTTGTGTGTCGCTACTTCAAACAAGAGTAGGATGCTCGTCGATGCGGTTGTGCTTGTGTCACGCAACGAGATGGCAATTGAGGGGTCAAGACTCGTGGTGATGCGCGGGCCTGTTCGTGAGGATGGATGGCCGGATTTGGTGATAGCAGGGCCGGCCAAGAACTTTTCGTTGCATAGGGAGGTCGAGGAGAAAGTTTCCGGGGAACTCCTTAGCACTACCGGGAGTGTTTGTTAGGATGAAATACATGTCTGTCTTTTCGGAGACTGCAAAGGTCGACGATCCGCTGGTCCGTGTTTATGGATCGTCAATGAATGCTTTGGATGGCTACGGTTCGCGACCTCGTCCCCGAGGAACAACGATTGTCACAAGATCTGGACGTGTGGTTGGACTTCCTGCTTAAGCGAAAAGAAGGGAGACGAGTGAGAGGCTTGTGTGTTGTTGAACATGGCAGAGTTTCAGTACTGGAGAAAGGCGTGGGAGGCAGCAGTTGCTAGTGCACGCCGTCTCTTTCCGTGTCGCGCCCTCTTGAAGTTCGGATCCCGGCGAACTTCGCGGTTTGGCCTGTGAGTCCTACCGGCCTCCGAGATTCGAGTGCTGGGCGTAGTCGGAAACGGTCCTGCTACCAATTACGCCTGGACTCAATGATTGCTGCCATCAAAACCTGCGGTCGGCTGTGGAACCCCGGGGATTTTCCTCATGCGCCTTGGTCGAACACTGTCTTGCGTTTGGACTCGGAGTTGCTCCAATGTTTCTCTCTGTCTCTCTTTCTCGCATCCTCCTGAAGTTCGGATCCTAGCGAACTTCAGGAGTCCCCTGTCTATTGCCACAGACGGTGGTCTTCCGGATCCCTCGTGGATTGCGGCAACAGCCAGAGTCGAAGGACCTATGAAATGTTGACACGGCTGTCGCTTTCGAGCTTGGGTTCATCCAGTGCCAAGCCGTGCATAACGCGAGATCGGAAATCAAAAGTAGTTCGGATTAGGGCGGACTTCTCCATTTCAACCAGCCTTTCATTCCGGTGTGGCCTTCGTGGGTCGGGGTTGAGTTAAACAACCTTAGACTTGCAGATCATGTATCCCTGACGCCGTTTCTGCCTGTCGCATCATCCTGAAGTTCGGATCCTGGCGAACTTCACGTTTCGGGAGGTGCGTTGCTTTGTCTTGAGTCTTCGTGGTTCCGGGTGGGTCGCACAACCCGCCCGGCAACGGTTCCAGAGTGCGTTTGGTCCAGCACGGTTTTGGGAAGATGACTGCATGGCTGCCTCTCTGTTCTAGTTTGGATCCCGGTGAGCTTCGACTGTTGGACTGTCGGGGGTTCCGAGTGCCACGCGGGGAACACTACCCCGTCAAGCGCGAGCTTCCCGAAATCTGATTCCGCCGTCTCTATCTCGCGGAACGTCTTTTAGTTCAGATCCCAGCGGTCTTTGCGATTTTCACTGTGCGTTTGTCTATCTTTGTTCTTCGGGGTGCCCCGTGTGCCACATAAACAGCGCGGGATCCCGTGCGCACTGCGAGTTTTCACTTGCTTCTCTCTCTCTGTCTGCCTCTCGGTCTCTTGCCCACTTGAAGTTCGGATCCCGGCGGACTACCCCTTCTCACCGTTCCGGATTTGGGTGCCCGGGTGTCTTCGTGTGCGGCTTTCGCTGCGCTACAGCCTGCGTTGACGTGCGGCAGCGAGTGTTCGGTTTCTCCTGTGTTTTGAAAGACGTTGACCTCATGGTGTGTTGTTCGATTTGCGTTGTCGTTCGCATACAGTATGTTTTCTTCCAAGGGCGAGGTGGAGCCAACAGGGACCTTCGGGAAGGAATCACAAAAATATTCCACGAGGCGGTCGTCTACTGCCACGCAGGGGTGGTCGAACCATTCGAGGTCGAAATGGCTCATCGACTGGTGCTGCGGAGACGCTTCCAACCCCACTACGCAGCCATGCGGTCCTGTCATCTTCGTCGATGACGGCAGAAGGCGTAGAGTGCTTGGTGCCGTCTTGCGGTGGGAGGACGCAAAGGGGGCCGGCGACATTTCTATATGCAAAAAGTTTATGGCGCCAAGGGCAACGTCGTTTCGAATTCGAAAGGGTCGTTGTTGGACCTCGAATTGTGTAAGGGGTTCGGAGCGGGTGCTGTGAACACCCCGTTCTACAGAGAACTCGTTCTTGGGGCCGGTTTTGTTTTGGCGCGTGAATTTTTGGACATGTTGGAAGACAAAAACATCGCTCTAGTTGTCCCCTGCGAGGTTGACCCATCATTGGAGTTGTCGTTGCCGTTGAAGCTGTGCAGCGGTTGCGAGTCAAGCGGGGCAGCGGCGGAGGGCGGTGATCTGGGTTCTGGTCCCACCACTCAGCTGCACTGTGGCGAGAGCCGAGGTCAGTTCGACGACAGCGAGGATGAGGGGACTGCTCCGGCGTTGAGTGACACACGACGGTCTGTGTTGTCTATTCCTGGGGTTCAGATTGATGCTCCGTTTTAGCGGAAGAGTACGGGGCCTGCAGTACAGGTGGCGGCCTGTTCGGAGGTCGACTTGGAGGCGAGAGAGGGTTAGGGTGTGGAGGAGGTGGACGCGGGAGGCCTGGGCTCGCAAGGAGCTCCGCAAAAGAGGAGGGGGGATCGTCCAGACGAGTTCGCCGGTTCTACAAAGAAGTTAAAGCGCAAGGCCCCCAGGACTGCGGGAGAGAAACGCAAGGGGACCGAGGGGGAGCAGGGCCGGCACGTTGCCAAATGACCGTCTTCGAGACGGAAGCAACCTGAGTCTGGACCGTCTTCTCCACCGACGTTGACGCCGGGTACTTCCTCGAGTACAAAAACGGCGTTTGGACAAAGCGGGAGTTTGACATTAGCCCTGCGCAGGTCGTCGACCTCGGGGACTGGGAGGACCTGTACAACCAGCGGTCCGTGGATCCCGTGCTCGTGGAAGGGATCAAAGAAGCGATGTGGTTGGCGTTCGAAAACAAAGCGCAGTCTTACGATTTACCAACCCTGAAGCTGGCGTCGCTGGGGCTTGATAAACCGACTCCGGGGACCAAGGCAGAACGTCTGAGGCCGGAGGATTGAAGGGATGAGCTGGCGGGACAATACTACTACTACGCAGTATGTGGGCAGCACAACGCGGCTGCAGCGAGGTCGCTGCTCGGCAGCGAGGTGGCCAGGAAATACAATTTCGAGCGGTGGCCTGCACGAATGGTCTACTTTTCGGACGACAACTTCGAAGTGTACTTCCTTGTCAGTTCCCAGGACAACAAGAGGGACCTGAAGGCGCCCCCACGACAGCTGAAGCTGTCAATGAGGGACATAAGGTGGCAGTGGAAGCGCGCCGGTTGCCCGCGTGCTGTTATGGGGAACCCCAGCGGAAAACAGGATCAGGTCCGGAAGTGGCGTGAATTTTGTAATGTCGCACTCAACATGACACCGCACAACAACTTGTGGATTCTCGCAGATCAGCAGGGCGAGGAGGCCATTAGGAAACAAGGCGCTGCCCTGCGTTCCTATTTCCCGCTGGCGATGGCAGGGGAGAACGTCTGGAAACAGGCCGTCGAGTTTTTTCGAGAAATGGGAGAGGCAGATTGCTTGGACACGATGGCGCAAAGTGTATCAAGCGGAAGAAGAAAGTCAAAAACGTGAAGCCTGGGGTTGCATACATCCATGATGACAAGCTGGGCAGGAAGGAGGTCGTGTACAACGTCCCTGTGAACCCGCCGACAAAGAAAGGCAAAAAGGAGAAAGAGGAAGGCGAGTGGTTCGTGCAAGTGCCAGAGCCGGACGCGCATTGTTGGAAAACGATGGAGTCGCTGACAGACAACGAAAAGTGCCGCGTCCTGAAGAAGGTGCTCGCTTGCGAGGTGGTTTGGGTACAGGCCGGCTCCCAAGCGTTGGCGAAGCTCGGAAAGCTTAGCGTCCAGGAGTTGGTGAATTTGGTGAAGTGCGACCGGGTGCTGGTGCGTCTGTGGAACTACTACTAGTTCAAGCACGACAAAAGGCCGGACGCGGATTGGAGCCAGAGGTTCCCGTTCCTGAAATCACGGTCCGCAATTTTCAGATAGTTTGAGAGTCGTGGTTTGGATGCTGAGTTGTGGGACGGGAGCATGAAATACGTCACTGACTCCTCGTTGTTCAAGGACTGCCCGCCCTACATGGGCTGCGACGACGACAGATCGATCGAGGCGACGGAGAAGCTGGCCGGTCACAAGAAGCTGTCCGTCGACTGGAGGAATAAGGTCCTGTCCGTGTTGACTGGCAGTAGACTGAAGAGTCGAGAGATCGCGCTCGCCGAAGGCATTGTGCACATAAAATGGAATGACACAGGCGACGTGACATCCATCGCGCCATTCGGCAACGACCCCTTGGAGGAATACATAAGGAAAGCGGAGGTAAAGGAGGTAGTGGTTGCCACAAAGAGTCACACGTTCGTCCTCGATCTGTGCAAACCGGTGGACCTGAAGCTTTGGAAACCGCAAGCGTTCGACACTCTGGATTCCGAACTCCAGACGTGGTATCCGTCGCATTAGACGCTCATTGTTTTTGTCCCGCGGCAGCAGAACCTCTCCTTTCTGGACAGCGTGAACCATCTTTCTTTCGTCAAGCTGCTGGAAGGGAAGTGGGAGAGGAGGAGTCAACAGAAGTAAAGCTTCCCCGTCGGGAACAATTTATACATGGAAGGCGACCGGATGTACATACTCTTCAAAGGCGACGATTTGCCGGCCAACACGTCCGTCGTCTACGAGGGGAAACTGCCCGTAGGCGCCGCTGCTGCAGTGCAGGTACCACAGAAGGTTACGCAAATGGATGTGTCCGACATCCCGTTCAACCCTTGCGACTGGTCGCATACCTCGCCTGCACGTCGGGGAATCGTATACGGGGACATGTAATGCAACCCCGCGCAGTTCGTTCAGCTTCTCGAATCCGTCACCAAGAAGGGGGAGGGTGTCGTCTTCCTCGAGAAGCGACACGCGCGGTCAATCTGGGAAGTATTGAAGGCAGGACGGCACGTCATCGCAATGGAAGGGAACTCCGAGCTCTTGCAATTTACAATTGATCTCGTCAAAAGCGAGGTCAATTCGGGTGCCCACAATTGCGAGTTCATGGTCGTCACCGAGACTCAGGCTCGCGCGTGGAACAACAAGACGGACATGTGGTTCAAGTTGAGTGAGAGGAAGCGGAACAAGATATACGACCTCTTCTTCCTGCAAACGCGGCCGAAGAGAGACACTGACACCGAGTACGTGCGCCGCAAGGACCACATGTTCACGTTGCTCAACAACTACCACGGCGCCTCCCACATGAAGGCGAAGACCTTCCTCGAGAGGTTGCAGTCCCTTTACTTCGTGGAGTCAGAGGAGGAGCTGACGTTCGACAGTTACTCCTCCTTGATCTTCACGGAAGACGAGGAGACCACCAGCATTGAGTTCGACGCGACCGCGGACGAGGAGGGCATCGACTCCGAAAGCCTCGACCTGCAGTAAAACCAACATTCCGTGCAGCACTCTACAGGGTCGTCCTTGGCAGGTCCGTCGACAAGCCCAGCGTCCCTCGTGTCACCGATGGCGAAACCGGCGCCTGGCACTACCCCGATGAAGTTGCTGCAAAGAATGCAAGCTGTGGCCTCCGACCATCCCTCACTGCGTCCCGGGTCTGACATCCCGCCCGATCATCTGTCTTGGACGAACGCCAACATTCACTTTCTGCCTGAGCCTCAAAGTCGTTCCATGGAGGCGGACTGGGGCCATGACATGATTTGGCATCCAGGAGTCATCCAGCCAGCGATCCAAAAGGGTGAGTGGATCGTGGCGGTCGCTGTCCCGGATGGAGGATGGACGCCACTCCCTCGTGGGTTGAAGTCTGACTTCCTCGACGTCGCTAGAATTGCGGTCCTCCAGAAAGTGAAGGCTGAGAATGACTCTTTCGCACCCGAAGACGTGTCCGTCATTTCCACATCCGGGCGATTGTTCGCCGAACTTCAGGACAAGTGCTGGTTGGAGCTGACGGAGGACTACGACGACCTCGACACGAGCCCCTCGAAAGGAAGGGTGGACTGGAAAATCCCCCCTCCCAGTGGGATGCATGTAAGTACAGGGTCCCGGGGACCGGACGGTGGGGAGAACGAGGGCGACGAGGCTGGGCGCGGCAAATGAGTCCCGGGGCGACAACACGAGGGCGACGAGGCTGAGGGCGGGTCTCAGGGCGACATTACGATAGCGGAAGGCAGCGGAGGGGTGGCGGTGGAGGCCCTCAGGCGTCAGCAGTCTACCGGTCCCGGTCCGGAAGGCTCGGCACAGTCGGCGGACGTGCCGAGTTCATCCGCCTACTCGGTGATGGCGGCCTTGGTTGCTCTCCGTGCCGGCTCGGTCGAAATGTTCAAGTCCGCCGGGATCCGAACTTCAATGCTTGCAGAGCGGACAGAGAGGACGGACGCGCAGAGCTGGTCAGGACCGGGGGTGGCGAGTCATCATCCCAAAATAGACAGCGGTGCGGTGAGGGACGGGACTTCGTCGCCTGCGGGGGATAGCCAACCGCTTCGGTCGGAGCGAGAGGGTGCATGTGGAGGGCCCGACGACATGGAGACGACGAAGTTCGCCGGGATCCGAACTTCTCCACGCAAGGCGTGTGGAGGGCCCAGCGACAGGGAGACGGTGAAGTTCACCGGGATCCGAACTTCTTCAGGCAAGGCGTGTTGAGGGCCCAGCGACAGGGAGACGGCGAAGTTCGTCGGGATCCGAACATCTTCAGGCAAGGGAGGGAAACCTGGGATATTGGTGCAGGCGGGAGGGGCTGCGCGCGGCGGGCGGGAAGCGCATTCATCGAAAATCGACACGGGTTCGGGCAAAGTGGCTGCATTGCATGCAGGGGAAGAAGGCAGGGTGATGGACAAAGAGAAGGAAGTGGAGGAAGGAGACACAGGGGAGGAATTGGAGGAAGGGGGGGAGGAAGGGGAGGAAGAAGAGGATGAAGGAGAGGAAGGGTAAGAAACGGAGTTGGCTGGGTTGCTAGGAGGGCAGGAGGGTGGAAAAGGTGAACTCGATACAGGAGACGACGGACGGACTTTCGGCGACGACGATGACAGATCTGGGAGTCGTCTGACGGATTCGGGCAGCTGTACGGAGAACACCGCGAGGAAGACGACGACGACGATGACACGACACTGGGTGTGGAGACACATGTGGTCACAAGCCTTTCGGCAGAACGTGATGACTATGAGGTCGAAGCAATGACGTCTGCCGTCGATCTCCAACACCGGTTCAACGAAGCTCCTGTAGCAGTCAGCCTGACTAAACCGAGTGTGCGTATTGACATCGAAGAAGTTATCGACAGCATCCTGGGCGACCACCACATGTCCGCGCTGCCGTCCTCGACGCCTGGTGTCGACGACCCTCTTGACGTCAAACCTTCCGGGGGATCTGTCGTCCATTTTTCGCCGACGAACTCTCCGATGCTGCCGCCGACCATCGTCAGCGGAGGAGAAGGCGGGATCGGGGGACGACAAGATGTCACATCCCCGAAAAAAACTGCCGCCTGCAGTCGAACTCTCGACGTGCTGGCCTTACCCGCGCCAACTTCGCCGATTAAGGAGCGGAGAGACAAACCAGCTGGTAAGCAATGACAAACGCCACTCTGTCTGCGCGACAGTGACCGCAGTGTCTGTCGATGCGGGGAGTTCCTGATGCCGGCATGCTACAACCACCACTCTTTCAAACTTCCAAGCACATGTGAACGACCATCCTGTGCGCCGCCCAGGTCACTGGTCATGTGCAGGGCGTACGAGACAAAAACATGTGTGTTTTTGTTGAAGCGTTCCCTCACATAATGGAAGGATGGTGTTTTTTTTTCGGAATGAGTGGTGGTTTTAGTTCGCCGGGATCCGCACTGCCAAGGCCGCTGCGAAACGCGGTTACTCTTTTGGTGCCTCGATTGGGAAAAGTCCGCTGGGATCCTGACTTCACAAATGTTTGGCCTCCGGGTTTGTGGCTTGTTGAGGTTTTCCCTTCTGAAGGGCGGGGGTGTCGAGGTCGAACGCACCGCTCCTTTTGTTTTCCAGCGGGGCCTGCGCGGAAGTATTCTCTATCTCTCTCGTGGCTAAACGGGGCTCTGTAAATAGATAGGTCCTGCGTCTTCTACATTTCGTGGTTCTTGAGTTGTCGTTTTCGTCGGATTCGTCTTGGATTACGTGAGTTCATTTTCCATTTTCTCTTTCTTTGGTTGCACAGGAGTTGGGTCATCTCCCTGGGTTGGAAAAGTCCGCCGGAATCCGGACTTCAGAGATGTTTGCCTTCCGCTTCTGTGACTTCATGTGCTTTTCCCTTCTGAAGGGCGGGGGTGTTGAGCTCGAGTGCACTGCTCGTTTTGTTTTGCAACGTGGCTCGTGCGGAAGTTCCCTCTCTCGCACTCTCATGGCTTGACGGGGTTCTGTAATTGCATGGGTTCTGCGTCTTTTAGATTTCGTGGTCCTTTAATTGTCGTTTCGTCGGGTTCTTCTTCGGAAACGTGTATTCACTTTCCGTTTTGTCTTTCTTCTGTTGTACAGGGGTAGGGTCATCTCGAACACGGAGGCCCTCTAAATATCCGGAACACATATTGCATACAGTCCCGGGGTTGACGACAAAACACAAGGACATATTAAAGGCGTTAGGGGTTGATGTCGAAATCGGGAAGAAGGAGCATGTCATTGCCATTGAGGAGTGTCTTTCCCTTCTGCCCCCAGAGAAAGGGACATATCCACGATCTGTGACTAGGGGTCAGGCCATGTATGAGAAATACTTAGCTACTCGTCGCACGATGAAGGAGAATCCTTAGTGTTCTGTTTCTCACCTCCTCCCCTTTCCTTTGCTCGATGTTGTGCAGTGCGGGCCACGACACCCGGAACAGCAGTGACTGCGATTGGAAGCTTGCGGGTTTTGGACGACATTGAACGAGGCTTGGTGCCACCTGACACTGTACTCTCGACCCTCCGCGATGGTCAGTTGCAAATTGCAGCGAAGGATATTCTCGACCTCTCACTTACCGACGGCAGGATGAATGATGAGGTGGTCAACTTCTACATGGCGCTATTAGGAACGACCGCATATGGGACAAGTGACATCCCGCTAGGCCTTCGAGTCTTCACCTTCAATTCTTTCTTCTCCAGTAAACTGCAACTAGAAGGGCACGGCGGGGTGGAAAGATGGGCTAAAAATGTGGATCTGGTTGAATATGATATTATCTTTGTTCCAATCCTCAAAGATAATGATCACTGGATCCTCCTTTCCGTGAGCTTGAGAGATAATGTTCTTAAGATTTTCGATTCTTTTCCTTGCGTTGCAGCCGATTCTAGTTTTTACCTTAGTGTTTTCGAGTTGATCGTACACTATTTGGAATGTCAAACATCACATAGGCGGTCGTGCAGGCGCTGAAAGTCAGTGGTAGCAAATGTTGTTATAGAGGGAGTTCCAAGACAAGTGGATGGAGTTAGTTGCGGGGTGTTTATGTTGATGTTTGCGACACTGTTGCAATGTGGCGATCGACCGTCTTTCAGGTTCTCTTGTAAAAATATTCCGTATATTAGACGATAACTGGCATCATATATCTTGGAATGCCGTTGTCTTTGATGGATTAGATTGATTTGTAAACTTCTGTTTCATAATATTCCATATTTTAACTGTCGCTTTCACAATGACATTACTTTCTTTCAGTGTTGCGGGTTTGAGTTGTCTTTGGTATGTTGACTGTCAGTTTGGTGTCGCGTATTGCCTTCGGAATCTCTATCAGGTCCGGCTCATTTGTCGTGTCATGTCCTCGTTGCAAATTGTGTCCAGGTCATCCAAAGTTGTGCATATAATTCACCTCGAAATGATATTCGTGTGTGTGGTGGGTGTGAGGTTCGTTATGCAAAGAGTGAAAGACCAGTGACATCACATCTCTTGTGTGCATAGATAATCATGTACTTGTGACCGCCTGAATTACATGTGACCGACAATGTCGCGTTCTTGACTTGGGAAAATAAATTGTATGTCAAAAATAACAGTTACTATTTGAACTTCTAAAGAAGTCTGAATCTCTACAACATCCAGACAACCGCCTCGGACGAGACGATAGCCATGCATGTACAACTCACGCATAAAAGAAATAAATAGTATTATCCAACAAGGATTCAATCATGACACCTTGCTCATCACATTCACAAACTTAAAGTTTGACAAGTGTGGCTCCCGACACATTATCGCACAGGCATCCTGCATGGGCGTGTCTATCGCTACTCTACGTCTTCTAATATAATTATTCAACGAGGATGCAATCATGACACATTGCTCGTCACAATTATGGAATATAAATTTAACAAGTACGGATCCCAACACAGTTCCGCATAGGTTTCCCTGATGTGCGTGCCTGTCGTTATTCGTTTATGAAGTTTAACAAGTGCGGATCCCGACACACTTCGACACAAAAGTCACGGCACATTTATGAAGTTCAACAAGTAAGGCTCTCGGCACACTTCCGCACAGGGTTCCCAGATGGGCGTG